GAATGCTGGCTCACTGTCTCTATTCAGGCTGTTTCCATCCATCTGAAGAGCGCAGGTAGCTAGGCAGGTGTGTAACTGTAGTGTGAGGCATGAATAACCCCTCTCGGCTCACACTATGACAGCAGTAGGTTGTGAATACCTTTGTAAATTAATACAACCTTCAGAATTTGCTTATTTAAGGTGCCTTTAGTAGTTAACCTACAAGTGAAAAATGTTAGTGTTAGCTTGTTGTCCTTTGCTGTAATTAGCAAGTAGTTATTGTTTTTGTCAAACAAAATGAACATTACTACACTGAAATATACAGTATCCTAAAAACAGGAGATAAGATTTCTTTTGTTAGGACTTAACATTTAATAGTACAGGTAAAATGTGTGGCTACATGCTGAAATTATGAATTTTCTTTACTTAATCAACGCTGTTGGTAGCTAACCTGCCATTTACCTGCAAGAAGACAACTTTTTCACTAACGTTACTGTTTTGTAAATAATAAATTTAACTGTAGTGTACATAGTGATAGGGAGGCATTTGATGATAAACAGCAGCTTAAAGCAGGTGACTACTGGTTTGGTGTGAACATTCAGATGCACAGTGAGAGGTAACTTTAGATGATAAATTAGTTGTTTCTGAATGTTATGTTTTATTTTAATAGGAACATAAGTAACAGAGCAGAAACAGCAGAAAAGTCAAGTGGAGCCACAGGATGTCAAGTAAGATCTTACTGTGGCAGACTAATGATATCCAGCAATGAAAAGGTATGAAAATAACACAGATTGTTGTTTATCTTCATTATGTATCATTTTATTAGCTGCAGGAAACACTGCAGACCAGCAGTCAGTCAGGGAGAGAGGGCACAGCAGGTTCTGCAACTGAAGGTAGGTGTCATGATTCGGTTCCGCTGCTTCCTGTCCGGCTTTTATTTTGACCTTACTTCCTGTGTTTGTTTCACCTCTGTTTCGGTCTTTTTACTTTCACTAATCACTCACATTAGATTCACCTGCTCCCGATTAGTTTGCACCGCATTATAAGCAGCCTTCATTCACCTGCCAGATTGTTCTAGACGCCAGCTCTGACTTTCCAGGATTATATTCAGTTTGTGTATTTCTCGTGTTTTGACCTGGATTGTGTGTTGTGACTATTCTGCTCTTGCCCTCTTGCCCTCTTGCTACTGTGTATGATCATCGGACTACCCCTTTGGATTACGTATTTTGGATTCCTCTGCTGTATGTGTTTGCTGGCTCTGATCTTGGACTGTTATACTGACCGTGAGTTTTGTGTTTCACCTTGTCTTGTATGAGTTTTTGTTTAGCATTAGTTCTCTTATTAAAGAGACGGTTTTGTTTTAAGTTTCCTCGTCTGGCCTTTTAATGAGTTCACCAACATTTTCAGCAGCATCACGTGCCGATTTCTGACACTAGGTAGAAATGCAACGGGAGGTAGAAATGGCCAGATGCGTTTCTGTTAGCTTTACTGTACTTATTGTGATCCCCAACGACAGATTAGCCAGGCACAGTTACTTTAGTTCCACCTGTAAAATTAAAGACATCACCAGCTAAAAGCTGCAGTTATTGCGTGTTGCACTCCGCTGGGTGTAATATTTGAGTAATTATGTGTATGCCTACAATCTAATTACAGATCTTGTTTAAAACGTGTAGTCTGTATAGTCTTTCACTGACAGAGACAATGCAGCCTATTGCGCCTAGTGTGTGAGACTTTTTGGTGTTTGATTCTTACATCCAGACCAATAATGTATTTACATATATAAACGAGAGATAGACTACTCTGAAGATTTAATTTTTGTTGGAAATAAATAGGTATGAATGATTTAAACTTTTATAACAGGAACTGTAAAATTGTGCTCCATCAAAAAAAAAAAATCTAAATTCACAATGACCTATAGTTATATTATGTAGGTTGGCCTAGAATTATATTTTCATGTGGCCCAAAATCTCTAGCAACTCGCTGTCCATCCCTTTCTGTGTGAGTCATTGTGCAGCACCAAAAATTAGCCTTTAGCTTGGTCTTCAAATGACTTGCTAGAAAACAAAGCTGAAGCAGCAGGAGAGATAAACCAGCTAGTCTCTGGGGGGCTAGCTGGTGACAAGAATTGACAGGATGCAGTGTTTATGGAGAACCGGAGGTCTGGCTATGGACCCAGGTGGGGTATGCACACCATGTGACCCCCTTCATTAGCAGCCACCATCACCTTGAAAAAAAAAGACAACCCTTGATTAATCATCTATTAATGCTTCAGAAGGCACCAAATGGCACCTTCCAGTCTGAAATGAAGCATCTCAATTAGGCATGAGAAAGAGCCTCAAACAGAAGATATGGCTGACCTTAATGTAACAGCACAGGGGTACTGACCTTGAGAGGGTAATTTATAAGATATTATTGGATTTCAGAAGGGCAGTCATTTATCATACCTGGGGCTCATTAACACATGGGAGGACACATCATTATTTCTGCACAAGCTAATTAAATTGTTAACTGATAAATATTTAAGTCCTATCAATTAAAACTCAGCTATGTATTTGAAAAAATCTATGGCGGTCACAGTGTCAGTTTGTCACCTTGTAAAAAGTTGACTCTGCATCATTACTGTCTTTACACATTATTTGCTATGTGGACTTGTTTACGCAACACTATCTGGTCGGGTGATCTCCCCTGTCATTCTGTCTGTCTTGACCCAGATAATTAACTTGTACTGTATCAACACCAATACAAGACCAGTGCTGCATTGATACTTGTAGTAGTGTCTATGGTGAGTATCACTGTGTTTGGCCAGCTAATGCTTCATGAAAAAGGTCAGTAGCCTATATGCAACATATGTGGTTTATTCTAATAGACTACTGCATGTTGGAGAAGCTGGGATTCAAACTGATTAGAAGACAACCTACCTCCTGAGCTACAGCTGCCCCATTAAGTTGAGTTTGATCCACTCAGCAGCTTGGCAGCTAAGCAAATGATGTAATAATTGATAGCGATGAAGGCCAAACCTATTAACCTAAGACCTGGGTTTTGTAAAAGTGGAATTAGAATTCCCACCTGAGCTGCATACTTCATAGCACCAGTTTTTGCCCACAATAAAACGGACTGAACTCTTCCTATCTCAAAGTGTATAAAAACTGCTGGAGCACCTTTAAGGCAGCAGATTATCAATCAAGGGGTGTTCTTGCACTTGAATCATCCCTGCTCTACTACTTTGTAAACCTAAAATGAATACTATAGCCCTTTCTGCTGTGTGTCAGTTATATGACGGCCAGGGGATGTCTATGTGGCTTCATGTAGCATCACATCAACCTGTTTAGCTCCAACCTGTATCATTCATCTAACACTACCTTCTAAATGTTAGGAAAGCATGCAGCCTGCATCATATTCTGGCATGGACATCATCCTGAAGCCCAGCAGAGATGGAGTGAGTAACCATTCACATGGAAATCATCATGTATGGGGTGTCTCTATACTCCAGTGTTTATGTGCATTTCTGTGGATATGCCAAAGATACTGTCACACAATGTGGTCTAGAAGTCAGGAGACAAGAGGTGTTAAAATGATGTTGGGAATGTAAAATATAAAATTCAGATCTTCTGCCAAGACCAGACGCTAACCATCTGTGCAGCCTTTTTTTTTTTCTTCATAACGAGGTTTAATGAAAACTGACTTCTCACTGTGATTGGCAGCCAGAAGGGTTGGATTTTAATCTGGAGCCATTTTCTTCAGCATGCGTTTTGGGGTCTGAAACATTTAATGCTAAGGAATACTCAATACTACTACCAGTGAGCAAAAGCTGTTTTTCTATTCTTAAAGCACGGGGATTTTGCTGGGTTAGAAGACCAGGGGGATGAAGTTGTATCAAGGTAGCCCCATTTATATTTGCCTCAAGTTAAACATATGGAGACTGCATACTACATCAGCAAAAATCACTTGCTGTTATCTTAAAAAACATCAAATGCCAAAGTACCAAATATTGAAGGAAGCAATGCCAGCAGGGAGGGACCTTGAACAGAAGGATACATACAAAATCTTTGTGGACTTTTAAAAGGCAAAAATATATTGAATAAATTCTGACTACATGAATATGAACACTGTGGTTCAGTCTTCTGACATTTCTGTATCCTTTCAGACACTTCTTACCCACAACAGTGTTGAAATGTTCATCTAATTTGTTTCTACCATTAAAAGTGCAAACCAATCAGTGTGCTCTGGTTGTGCCTTTTCTGAGTTTTCTGTCTTAGATATGAGAAGCACCTGACTCAGCTGTATATTGCTTTATGACCCGCAGAACACTTTTTTTTTTTTTTTTTGTCCTTTTAGATGAGTTTGATTCATAATTTAAGTGAAGATCCATATGAGGCCTACATTGGGAAACCTATCTAACATGGCTGCTGTCCCTAATGCTATTTTGTTGTCCTGGGGTGGAGCTCGGGAGTTCATACCTTCTCCAGCATTATAGGCGAGAATGGAGCGAGCCCTGCTCTCTTTGCCTTCTGTGTTTTTTCCAGAGCAGGTATGGGAGCAGAGCGACCAGGGGGTCCAGGGACTCAAAGCACAGTCTTTTGGGCAAGGCACCTCACAGATAGCAGGCATGGGCAGGATGGCGTCACGGCACAGCTGCCTCTCCACATATTCACCTGGATGGACACAAACAAGATTGAGAGCAGGAAATTGTGAAAAGTTTAGAAACACATAAGACAAAGGAAGGCTATTCAACAAAAATGTTGATGTACTGCAAGAACCACTTTGTGTGGATAAATCTCAAAAGTACAAACCCAAAATAACTTCTTGAACCCTGTTGACTACAAACATGATCCTGATCTCTTCTAGCCCAAATCATGTGCAGTCCATTTACCATTTACCAAATTATACTGAACCAGTTTTACAGAGATACAAATATGGAATAAAATGTTTATATGGGCGCCTTCCTAGGGAGGTGTTCTGGGCATGTCCCACCGGGAGGAGGCTCCGGGGAAGACCCAGGACACGCTGGAGGGACTATGTCTCTCGGCTGGCCTGGGAATGCCTCAGCATTCCCCCAGAGGAGCTGGAGGAAGTGTCTGGAGAGAGGGAAGTCTGGGCATCTCTGCTTAGACTGCTGCCCCCGCGACCCGGTCCCGGATAAGCGGAAGAAAATGGATGGATGGATGGATGTTTATATTTCTCCCCACTGTATTTCTTTTTGCATAGTTTTTGTGTTTTTTTTTTCCCCAACACGGTCTCTTTCCATGGGGACATCTGAATGTGAAACAATACTGTACATTATTAACCTTTCATGGAAAAGAGGGTTCACAACACTGATTTTGCAATAACTAAAATTCATTTTCAAGAATAAAAATGAGGACTGATATCAATGTCATGTTGTCGCATGTACAGAGCTTAATTCAGGGTTTGGTTATCCTAGCTTAGCATAAAGAGTTAAACTAGCCTGACTGTCCAACTTTAAAAGCCATGCCTAACAATACCTGTAAAACTGGTGTGCTTACACAATTTATTTTGTGTTGTTAAAAAGTAACTACATCGAAATGTAAAAACAGCAACTTCTGATTTTAGGGAAGTGATGTATTGGAGCAATTGTTTGAACAACATTCAATCCATCTGCCAGTTTAGTGTCAGATATGTGGCAGAAGTTTAGTTCATGGTTACAATTATGGGTCATATATGTGCTATAAAACATGTAATCATTAGTTAAACAGGTGGTCCACTGTAATTTTATATAGGTTTTTATCAAAAAAGGTTCTTTTGAAGACATTTCATGTCCTGCGTTTCACCTACATTAATCAAGTTTGATGTTGATAACCTGTTTTACAATCCTTTGAAATCATCTGTCCTCGCTGGAAAAAAATGTGAGCATTGCTATTTTCAGTGGGGTGCCCCTAAAAGGAGTGTCCACAGTAGCTAAATACCCAGGACTCTGAACCAAGCCATTCAAATGAGAGGAGAAACATCTTCAAAAGAACCTTAAATAAATCCAGCTGCTGATTTTATCACTTTGAATATACCATGACCTGGATGACTGAGAATCTCCACAGACATTTACATCATGAGTGACTGCTCTAAACATTTCTTCTTAAGAACTAATGGAAAAAATAAAGCATTGATCAGAAATAAGGCCTTTGAGACATACAACAGCACAAGTCAATGAGAAATATGCACGCTATGCTTACATTTGACAAGAACCTCTTGTCACCTTAAACCTAACAAAAAGTTACTCTAAACTGCAATCTTTTGTAACAAGCATTTGTTTACCAAGAAACTGTTCCAGCATGTAAGACCAGGTGAATCTGGAAAAATGTGGACTTAGCCTTTTGACATCTCTCATTCTGTATGGTTTGTCAGGGCCGCTCGGCGGCCGCTGCCTCTCCTCCGGTCTGTCTCTTTGTTTTCTCCGTTTTGTGGGCTCTGCACCTCAGCTGTGTTGCATTCCAGTAATTAGTAACTGGTTTGTCAACGCACACAGCTGAGGTGCATCCCGATGATGACCTTCTTCCTTTATTTAACCCTCTGACAGACGCTCCGCCGTCGCCGGAACATTAGCTAACATATCGTACATTAGCAAACATTAACCAAGTAACGCATACCTATGTCTTGGATGGAATGCTACGCTGACAGTTACTGTTGCGTTTTGGCTTGACTCCATTTACACGACATAGACGCTACACTACACACACCCTCAGTTTTGATCCGTCTCCGTGGCTTGGCTTTTTGGACAATACTTACCCTGTTCTTCTACCGTGAGTTTGTGTGAGCACCTGTTCGTTCTGGTCCCCTTTGTTATCACTGCCCCTCCTTTATTATCACTGCCCTTCGTTTGTTGTAAGTATTACGGACCCTGTTTTGTTGTTACGTTGGTGTTGTCTTATTTTTTCCCATTAAACCTTTGTTTTGTACTAGCACCTGGGTCAGCTATCTTGTGTCCTACCCCTAGTTCTCCCTCACCCTCCTAGCGAGGGGGGCTAACCCTAACATGGTTAAACAAATAAAATATACAACTTTATTTAGTCAGCTCTAGAAATGTTGGCTGAATAAATCTAAATATTTCTTTTTAATTTCCTCAATAAAACTTGCTAGCATTTTAGATTTATCTCTGAAACCCTAAGGCTAAGTGTGAGTTGCAGGATCAGTTTCTGCCATACAGATTATCATAAATAGTTTTAGGGAATAGTCATATAAGGCATACTGGTTTATATTAGAGGTCTTTCCAAGGATTTGTTTTCAGGGGGTGGGGGTTCTGAGATGCTGATGTGTTTCATATTGACCTAGATCCGCAGACTGTCCTCTCTCTACTTAACCCCCTCTTTCCATTAAATCCAAGCCCATCCTGTCACTCTAGGACCATGCCTGTAAAAATCTCATTGTGAAGAGGAGGAAGAATGGCACTTCTGGGACCTCAGGGAAAAACAAATCCATTTTCATCACACAGAGATCAATAAAAGACCAGTCAGAAGAAACTGACGGATGCCACATGGTTGTATGTTTGCAGTTGTGCTGGTGACATGGGACATATGGAAACAGAAGACTTCCGTGTGATAGATGCCGGAGGAAATCATTAACGTGTGTGTATAGCAGTGATAAATTTAATTTTCTCTTTTATAAGTGCATACGTTGCTCTAGCTCTTATAATCCAGTCCTTATGATATTAAATAACATGCTATGATGTATATACAATCAGTACAGAAAGTATTCAGACCATTTCTAGTTTTATCCATGTTGCTATGTTTCAGACTCATCTTAAAATGGATTCACTTCAGTTTGGTCCTTGTCAGTCTACACACAACACTCCACACTGACAAAGTGAAAACAGGTGTTTCCTAATTATATCCAATGCATTAAATGAGGTACAGGTGGACTCTAAGCAAGGACCACTGATGGGAGTAGGATGCACCAGTGCTCAATTGTGTCATAACAAATAGTCAGACTACTTATGTAAATGGTGTAGTTCAGTCTTTTATTTTTAATAAATTTAAAAAATACTGGAAAAACCTGTTTTCACCTGTGGAGTATTATGTGTAGATTGACAAGGACAAACTTGAATTGAATCTGTTTTAAGATGTGTCCGAAATATAACAAAATGTGGAAAAGTTTCCACACTCACCGTATATATGGTGTGTACCTGTAACACAGACCAATAAATCAAGCTACAACCAGTAAGCATAAAGGAGGGACATTTAACAAAAGATATTGTACTGTGAGACTGTCCTCCTGTAAAAAAAAAAAAGACTATACAGTATATATGTTAATGCCAGCAGGTTACTAGGCCCAAAAGTTTGGTATTACAGTTTGATGACCACTACACACAGTAATAACTATGACACAAGCAAAGTTGTTAACTTTGCCAGTACAACGTACAGTATGTTGGTGTAGTTCTTGCAATTCTATGGGTTGTATGAGAAGGAAAGGGCAAACATCCATATGAACTGGAGAACCTGTTGTTACTGTAGTGAGTATATCATGAAATATTGGGGATATTTATAGTCACCAGAGGATGGCTCCCAATGTTTCTAGGAACCTTCTGACCTTTTGTTGAACACCACTGTCTTGTGCAGATTGCTAGGAAATGTCTTGCCACTTAAATTGTTTTTTGTCAAAGCAATGACAAATAACCTAGAGTATTTTGTCCTTTAAGCTGGAGGTTAGGTTTCCAGCGAGCTACTGCATCAGTAGCTGCAATATGACAACAGGAGCGATAAGATGCACTTCTAGTCCAGGCTGAATAACTACCTCTCAGACAGAATAACACGTACACACACACACACACACTCACTCACTCACTCACTCACTCACTTTTTAGGAAAACAAATGATTTTCAGTGTAAATTGAAGTCACGTCAAAAGAGGCCTTTTAGTGCAGCAAGAAAGACGATTTTCAGAGAACACACAATGTTCTGCCCTGTTCCATATGGTGTTCAAAATCATTCTCCTAAACTCATAGATCTGAGGAGCTGGTGTGATGGTGTGACATCAGTTCACCCTGAGCTCAGCACGCAAGTGAAGTCAAGGGACCAAAGGGGCAATTTTCTTTTTAACATTACACACATCAGACAAGTCAGATTTCTGTCTGGACTTGTGTGAATGGGAATATACCAGATGGAAGCTGACATCTCCCCTATTCAGTTCTGCCACATCTAGGGGCGATTGCCACTCATGCAGTTGAAGGTAATGGGAAAAAAAGAAAGATTAAATCCAAGCTGACTGTGCAGAGCAGGCTGTGTTAATCTAATTTACCAATAAGTCTGATTCAGTGAGGTAGCATGAAAAGAAACCCACACCTCTTTAGCTATGTGCTTCCCACAAAATGGAAAGACAGGAAGAAAGAAAAATGGAATGAGGTCATGATTTCTTTCAACATTAGGACTGAAACTACTAACGTCCAGAGCTAGGTTGGACAACACTATTATTCTGCAGTGTTGACTAAAGTGTAGGCCAAACTAGAAAATGGGGCTTTGTTTACATTTCCTCACAATACATTTGCATGATCTACAAATACTTTTTTCCCTGTCTAAACTCTTCGCCTGGAGTTTAGACACAAGTTTAGCACTGCACCTTATCGCAGGAAAATAGAGCCCAAAGTTTCAAACTGGAATTAGACAGAAGTTTTCGGTGGTTTCTGAACCAATCATCCAATCCATCCTCCTCCT